AAGCACACTCGGCAAGGCAGGTGTGAGGGGCCAAACCTGAGAACAGTGCATGGGGTCGTGAAGACGGGGATGACCGGGGATGGGGACCTCGGGGACTGAGGACTGTGTCCTTGGAGGGACCAAGAAGAACGAGCATTTTCCAGGAGAGAGAGCACACGTCTCCCTCCCATCCCATCATCATTCACAAGCTGAGAGCAAGACTGATTTTTCCAATTTATTTTGGAATTATCAGCCGAACTGATTAAAGCAGCGATCAACTTCAGTTGTTCTTTGTGTGGCGTCCTCGTTTCGCATCTCCGACGCTTCTGCGCGTGCAGCCTGCATAAATTATTGAAACATTATTTTATTTATCCATCCCCCTGTGACAGAAATAGGTTTTCTGAAAGCAGATCTTTCCCTAATCAGTTTTGTTTCCCTTGGTTTTGCTTCCAAACAGCTCGGTGAATCTGAGGCTGACAGATGTAGCTCGGAGCTGCTTTCTTGGGGTGCGCCGAGCCGCGGGGGAAGGTAAGGAGAGCGGCCTGGGTGCCAGAGACCCCGCCCGCACATTCCGGGGGCCTGGGCCATAAGCAACTTCCGAAATGTGTCCCCATCAAGTGCAAAACGCAGAGGGCGGAACGAGGAGATGTGCCCTGAACTGTTGACTTAAGCTGGTCAGGGTTTGGGGCAGGTGGGCCTCACTTCACGTAGTCCTCCCCCGGGCTAAAGACCTGCATCCTACCTCCAGACAGTCGGTCATGCCCAGTGGGAAGCCGGGAAGGAACCAGGTCACAGTGTGACCGGAGACAGCTGTGGGTGTCTATCTTCCATGAAACTGGCCCGGAGTTCACCACGGCTGCCCACCGCAGCCACGCCGGGCAGCCACCTGAGAAGAGCCCCTGCACAGCGAGGCGTAAGGGAAGGGCAGGGTCTGCTGCATCTTGCAGGGAGTAAGCATTTGATTGAGGGTGTGTGGCTGATGAGGGACAATGTGTTTGCCAAGAGAGGAAACTCAAAGATGGAAAACCCAGGTGTGGCCAAGGCCATCCAAGGTCAGGCTTCCTTTAAAGCAGAATCTGTGACCAGGATCCCAACCCCAGTCACACGATTCACTGGGACAGACTGCTCTTCTGGAAAGATCCCTAATGTTGGAAGCACAGGGAGGGAAGGAGCTAACAAGCGTGCGCCGCCTCAGGTCAAGTCCTGGCCCTGAACGGCTCCCCAGGTGGGTCGGGGCCTCTGGGACATAAACACACCCATGGAGCTGTCCTCGCCTCGAAACAGCAGTGTGACTTTGTCGCCCCTGGATCAGCCGTTCATCAGCTGCCCACTGACCAAGGCTGTTCTTCACAAAGGCGGGCAGCTGGGAGCTGTCAGCAGCCACGGCCACGGGGAAAGGCCATCTGAGTGGGGCACCGACTCGCCCACTCCACACCCTCCCCACGAGCATCTTACACACGGCAGATTGTGATGGCGCCAGCCATTCACTGAGCGCCTAGAGTCGCGTTCTACTTGCTGTCCTTCCCAGCGATCCCAAACAGAAAGCAAAGTCCCCAGCAACAGAAACATCAGGGGAGCCTCAAAGAGATGGGGGGGGCGTGGTTCACAGGTGAGCAGCTGGTGAATGACAGGCCACGCTGCCAGCTCAGTGTGCTGGCACTGGGCACCGGGGGCCGCTCCTTTCACTGCACTCCTGGCCCGACTGCGTCAGGGCAACTGCCAGTCGCCTTATGCTTGTTCGCACATCCCTCTCCCTGCTCACGGGGGGCCTCATTATGAATAGAGACCTCCTCTTCCTGCCCCCTCCTCCTTCCTTTTACTCTTTTACATTTATTTCCATTGCCACCAATTCCTGGACGCGCCCTCAGCCCGGCGCTTGCTAGGCCTTCGTGGTCGATGACATTACCTGTAACAGGTGGTTTCTAGCCACTCTCTGCCATCAGACTGCCACTGCCCCTGGCACCAGGCTCGGTGACACGACCTGCTTTGCCAGTGGAATGGGGGCGATGTGACGGGCGCTCTGGGGCGGAAGGTAAATAACGGGGTGAAACAGGAAGAGCTGGCCAGCCCGGGCAGCGGAAGGCGCCAGTGAGGCCAGGACCTGCAGGCCTCCGGCCTGACTGAGTGACACTGGACACCGTGCATGTGCAAAGGCCCTGTGCCGCAGCCAGATGTCATCAAGGATCTGAGGCAAGGCCCGTGTCAGGAGCAGAACCACGGAGGCCACACTTGACTGGGGTGGAACCGTGGCGCCCCACAGGCCTCCTTAAGAATTTGGGCCTTGCTTTTAAAGCAGTACCGTGTGATCTCACTTACATGTGGAATCTAACGAACAAAATAAACTGATGAACAAAACAGAAACGGAGGCCTGAACACGTGGAACAGACAGACAGCTGTCAGGATTGGGGGGAGACCAGATGAAAGAAGGTGAGGGGACCAGCTGAAGAACACACGGACATGCCCAACCCCTGGACACAGACAATGGTGCCCAGACGGTCGGAGGGAAGTGGGGGCGGGAGGGGGTGGAGGTGGGCAAGGGGGAGAAAACCGGGGACATCTGTCATAGCGTCAACAATAAAAATAAAGTTAAAATAGGAAAGAAAAGAAAGTAAAATGAAATAAAGCCACAGGGACACATGGGAGGGCTTGCTTCTGGGCTCTTCCGTGAACAGCGGGGCAGCTGGGGTGGGTCCAGCGACTTCTCCAAGCTTCTCTCTTATTGGTCAAATAACAGTGCAGGTGCGGGGACTTCCCCCTTTGCAAGGTGCCCTTTGTCCGGCTCTGCATGGGTGCCAGACGTGGCAGAGGCACCGTGTGAGGAGACCCAGGGTCCCGCCTTCAGTGGGATTTGCCTGACGAGTGGGTGGTGCGCCCACCCCCCTAGCGCTCCCTTCACACTGCATTTCCAGCCTCGGTCAATAAACAAACAAGAAACCAATTTGGTTAATCTTCTTCAAACAAAAGAAGAACCCAGAAATCGCTTAATAAAAAGAAAATAGGCCTGTTTATAATCAGCCCAAGAAAACTGCACATAATGCACTGTGTGCCCTCGTAACTAATTTTCTTAAAATTTTTTAATTTGAAGCACAGAAAAATAACTATTTTTAAAAATGTACCATCGAACGACTAATTCCACGTTAATGCAACTCAACATCTGGGGCTTTTCACATCTGATAGAGTTAAAATATTACCAAATTAAAGCACAGAATTCATTTGTTTTTTTACTTATTAATACTGGTGAGTCATTAAAGCTTATTCTTCTCCATTTTGTGTTTTTGGGGGGTCATCAAATAGCTCTACCCTGTCCTTCAACGATGAGGGAATTCCAGGAATCACCTTCAACACCTTGCCACTCACGCAATGAACCATCATTGCGCCCTCTGCTCCTTTCAGCCGAATGACGCCAATAGCCATAAAATATCCCCATTTTCCCCTGCAACTCCGTTCCCGGTGGTTTCAGCTCTGAATTTGCCTTTACTTAGAGCATCTGATGTCACCGAGAACCTGGAGCCCCCCCGCCAACACAGACAGATGTCCCTCTCCGTTAGTGGCCTTTCTTCCTTGAATCCCCTGTGTGACATCAGGATCTTTTCTGAATCCTTCTCCCCAACTGCCCACGGTTCTGATCATTGTCACCTGCACAGCCATTGATTAAGTGGTTTTATTACCAATAAACCAGCGTGTCTGCAGCAAGTCTCATGCATAAAGCTCAGTGTTCTAGCCTTGGGTGGGGGGTGCAGGGTGGGGGAGTCACAGGGGTCCACATGTCATCCTGTCCTGCCGGAGCTCACCATCCAGGACAGGACACCGTCAGGACCCTCAAGATTCTGAGATGAAGCAGAGGGAAGCACACGGACCCCAAAACTTTGCTCACCAACACATCACTCTTCAGAATTGGGGGGCACCGAAGCGTAAAAGCTGAGCGCTTGTCATCCTGCTATTGCTCCTCCTCACCCTGGTCCCCAGTGTCCCCAGCTGTAAACCCTGGGTGACAACAGTCTCTGCCTTATTTGGAAGTGAGGCTAAGCCCTGGGTTGCTGAGTGGCCAAATGATAAGTACCTTTAAGCATTTAAAGTACTGACGTAGTAAACATGCTGTAAGTATTTCTTGGGTGGATAAATAAATGTTTTCAAATAACCCCTTGCCAGGACGAGCTTGTAAAGGAAATTTTAGACTTCCATATCAAGGAAGCTTACGTGACACTGAAATGATTGGTAATTTTATCAAATTATTACTTATGATAAATTTCGGGGCGGACTTCCACATGGCTAAAACAGCCACTTGTAGCCTGCATGTGAACCATACCTCCTGTAATGAATTCTGTCCTGACGTCCCAGTATGAGAGAACACACATGTGTCTTGTGTAAGCGGTGAAGTGCTCTCCAGGCTGAGCACGGTTCTGCCGTCTAAAGCCCACGGGTAAGGCCTCTACTGCTCCTTAGACCGGTCACTTTGGATTCAAAAATACGATTCCCCACAAGCACAGAAATTCCCTCCTGATTTCCATAACACGTCATCGCCAAAGACACTCTTTTGTTTGTCTAAAGTTTCCTTAACATTTAGTTAGCCTGCCTTGGTTAAAAAAAAAAAATCAAACGAGCTTTGTGGAAAATTCAGTGCTCAGACCTACGGGGAATTCGTCCCTGGCATTTCCATAACCCAGCTGTCTGGCTACTGAATGGAACCCAGAATAAATAACTAAACTAACAAATGACAAAGCAAACCCTCGAGTTCTGTGGTATTTACAGAAAAAAAAGACAATACAGACCAGAGATAAACTCTCTCATGAATGAGTTTACTTAAAAAGCCTTGACTGAAAGCCTCCTAGTATTCTAAGGACTAAAAAAGTGACTATGACCAACTCGAAACTATGGCAGATGAGGAAAAACACGAGATCTTTCCAGTACCGTTATTTCAGAAAGGTCCGTTTTTTCACTGTAATTTAGGAAATAGTCCATGGCTCAGAATTTTCCAGGTTTCTTTCTTTCCCTTTTTTCTGGACATTCTGCAATGGGCTGCCATGGGCTCAGAGTGAAAAGGGCATTTTATAAGAACAATTAGCAAGAAACAAAAGTGGGGTTCAATTTGCCACTTAATTCTGCATCACTGGAACGAAAAGAAAAGAAGGGTTGTGGGGTCTGTGGCAGAGACTGCTAATAAATATTCAAAATCTATTTTCCCTTCTCTCCTCACTAACAAAACCCCTATATTTTGGCAGGTAGCAATTTTCCAACTTACAAAAAAAAACCCCCACACATTTCCCATTTTCCCTTGCAATGGTGTGGCCCATGAAATATAGGTGGCAAATGTTGGATGGGGCTTTCTGGAACATTCTATAAAGGGAGCTTACTCAGCTGGGAGGTATGTCCTTGAAGCCTTGGCCCTGGAGACATAGACCGAAGAGCTGGAGATGCAGCAGCCATCTTGGCACTATGAGGAAAAGACCAAAAAAAAAAAAAATTGTAAACATCCTTAAGCCGCTGAGCCCATGCTAACAGCTGCCTCCTTCTACACTTCCTCACCAAGTGGCAAAAATAAAAATCGTATTTGTTTAAACCACCATGATCGGGCCTCTGTTGTTTGGAATTCCTAATGGCATTAGGTCCTAAGTTTCTAGCTTGCCTTTTTCCCATGGGAGACTACAGGTTTCCAAATAAGATTAATCCAGGAAATTACAAAACAAAGATCTAGAAGTACTTAACTTATTTTTTTATAGTGTGTGCCTCTACATCTCGGACTCACTGCATTTCAGCTGAACGCTTCTTTCTCACCCTTCTGCCTGCCTAACTCCTCCCCACCTCTGAGGTCTCGGCTTGCACATCGCCTCGTCTGGAAGGACCTCACTTCCCCCAGCCCACGGGGACCAGGCTGATGACCAGAACCCCCCCTGAGCCCCAGCTTCAAGTCAGGATGGAGTGAGTGGCCTTCATACCGCACGTTCAGCATCACAAGTGAATGAGTGATTGAAATACATGTTTCTTCATTTACTTTGATTTTTATGGGTTTTCCCTTTTTTGTTGTTGCCTCTTAAACGTCCTCTTATTTCTGATCCTGTAACCTAATTTTTATGATTTATGCTATTACAGTTGTCCCAGTTTCCGCACTTTGCCCCCCTCAGCCCGTACCCCCACTCCTATAGTCAATCTGCACACCGTTGTCCGTGTCCACGGGTCCTTCTTACATGTTCTGTAACCTATTACATTCACTGTCCCAGGGAGGGATGAGGACACACATTCACAAGGGAGGGAAACTCTGGCAGAGTGCTAACGAGCCTCTAACTACAGCTTATTGGGGGAAGGGAATTCGGTAACTCCTAACTGAACTGTAAACCTAAAACTACTTCGACCCCCAAACTCCCCATCTTAAACAATATCCTGCAGAAATATTAGATACATGTTTCTAGGAGCATTTATAAAGACGTACATCTTGGAATTATTTATAATAGAAAAATCTAGGACCCGCGTAAATATCCTTTAATATAGAGTAACTAAGTGATTTGGGTCATATTCATGCTGTGAAATATTATGCAGTCGTTATAAAGAATGAGATGGATATAACGTCTTGTCGTGGAAAGGCTCCTTGAACATATTAATGGGAACATGGGGGTGGTGTTGTGTGTAACGGTTTAGCATCTTTGTCAAGAGCAATGTAAACACGAGAGTGCAGGTTAGTACGAACTGTTCTCAAAGTGACTGACTCTGAGTCAGGATGAGCTGGCAGGAACCGAAGACGTTTTAATTTCTTTAAATAGATTTTCTTTCCTGTTTAAATCTTACATATCCTTGGATATTACCTGCTATCTTGCCACCCAGATAGTAAAACTTTAATTTTTAAAAAAGATAACAAAATATGAAGAAGTTTGGGTGCCATGAAGCAAATGGTCACAGATTCAAAGAGAAAAAAGGGGGGAAAGTGGCCAGGGTGCCTTTTTCTTTCTCTCTACCTCTCTTACTCCTAAAGACATCAATGCTAATAGTGCTGTGAGGCAAGAAGGACCAGCTTTACCACTTTCCTTGAAACACGACAAAAAACTAAAAGAAGTTCACAGAGGAGAAATGACCACCTGTGGCCCCCTAACTGGCTGGCCATGGGGCCAAACCTTCATTCAGCAGAGATTTACTGAGCCCTTAACACACTACTTAAAATTTCTGAGACCCTATAAGATGGGAAAACTCATACATACACGTAGTCCAGAAATGAATGACATAAAAACAAATGGGAAAAGCTCTCAGCACATCATTCTGCACATAACAGCTCTTGTAACGCTCATTTCTGTTTATCCGCACCATTCTGTAATTTCACTCCGATACGTCGAAATTCAGATTGATTCCACTGCTCGAACTTTTCAATCTGCTCCCTGTGACACCACATCCCTTTGACACCAGCTTTTTCTGATTCCTTGAGGCCACATTCAGGGGTGAGGGAGAGCTATTCCTCACTTGCAGATTCCAAAGTTTACGAATTCTTCTCTCCATCTCTTTCTAATCTCTTGTTTACTCTCTTCAACTTAAAAAAAAAAGAACTCTATCTTTTATTTGCTATATTTTCTGTAAGTAGTTTCTTGTATTCGACAAGCTGTACATCAAGGATGATATTTTGACCTGACTCTAGTTGAGAATTCTCAACGTGGCTATTCCATAACCCTCAGACTCAGCGGCAGCAGCCTGCGTGAGATGTCACTTAAGCAGGAGCAGTTCAGATTCCAGATCAGTTCAGCTCTGCAACTTCCTAGTTAGGTGACCTTGGGTTCACCTGACTATACATCTATTTCCTTCTGATCAACAATGACGATGATTACAGTGCACACGCTACGGAGTTTTTATGGAGTTTTAAGTAAGTTGATACATAAAAATCATTTGGAGCAGTGCCTCGCGCATACAAAACTCAGCCTTCAATACACAATAGTTATTGTCATCATGTTTATTTCCTTGGGTTTGAATTCTTGCATGTGATGGTTATATTGGCTGTCTCTTATTGCACTGAATTTCTTAATGTGCTTTTTAACTTTTGTTGAAGAGTTCAAATTGTACAGAGCTTTTCTCATGAGGCCCTCTCTGTCCATTGGTTTTATAGATGTTACAACCCAGACCTCCAATTGCCCGACCCTAAAGCGGGTCTTACATTAGGGGACCAGGGTCCTGGAAACTCTAGACGCCATTGCTGTAACTCTGCATCACTCCGGTCTCTGGAAATGATGCCTAGACCCAGCTCTTCCAATTCACAAGCACCAGCATGCAGGGGCAGGGACCGAACTCCCTGAGGGCGGGCCCAGGCCTGCTCCCCTCACCCCCGAAGGCAGAGCCCACACACGGTCCAAGCCCAGTTGCTGTTATCGACTAAACATGGAAAGACCATCTTGGTGATCGAAATGGGCTAAAATAGAAGAAGACTGGCGCTAGTGGCCAGTCTAATGCTGCAATTTGCCACTAAGTAGGTACTAAAGACCGCACTTAGGTCTTTACCAGGTTGTAGTTGCTAAAAAGAGAAGTACTATAAACCTCCAAAGCCAAGAGAAGACAGTACAAGGAAGTTCCCACCCATCTTGTCCCACCAGCGCCTGTAGAGATGGAACCATTCTGTTCGGAGCTCATCGGCCCCCTTCTGTGAGGCTGTGCCCTGCTACCGCTCATCCCCCTGCCCTGTCCTGTTGGCTTTTGCAATGAATTCACTGAAGTGTGTAAGTAGCAGCCAGCAACTGTTGTTTCAGTGTCTACGGGGGAGTTAGCCCTGCGTGAGGCCAGGGGGATTCAGAGGCTGTAAGCCAGTCTGTGACCACAAGGGCCCCAGGGCCTGCCTGAAAGATCAGTCTATTCACCCCAGAAAACAAGAGGCAAAGCCCAACATGGAAGGAGGAGGAAAATAAGGCCAGTGGGGAGAAATTACAAGGAGGCATATGTGAAAGTGATTTCCAACGAGTAGAACTATCTCAAGACAGAGAAGGCTTACACAGGGAAGCAGTGAGGCCCCCAGCCCTGCAGGCATGCAAGGGAAGTCTGGACATTCTTTCATGGGACTATTATGCAAAGGAATCCAACGGACATTGGACCAGCTGGTCCTTGTGGTTTCTGCTAATCCAGAGGCCTCCTGAGTCTGCACCTGGCATAAGGCATTTACAGTATCAGACATGAGGGAACTGAATTGCACCCTCCAATAGGGGGTCACCCTCGCTGCCCAGGGATCAGGCTTGCATCTGAGAAGTGATAGCTTGGCAGCTGGGGCAGGACTCCTCAGCAGGTGCTGCGCTCAAACCCACGTGACCCAGGCTTCCTGTGTCTCAGTGGGGAGCAGAGGTGTTCCTGCCAGCAGAAAAGCCCAGGTCTCCCTCCCTGTGCTCCGGCTGCACAGCCCCATGCGGAGGGGCGCTCTGGTCACGGCTAAGCTCTGTGCAAACCCCACTGCTTGTTTTGTTTTACATCCAAATGACAAGACAGTACAAAGCTCTCATGTAATTTTTTTTTTCCTTGCACCATTAGAAGATGTTATGTGCATTACGGCAGAACCATCTGGAAAGGCAGGAAAGGCACACGGCCTGCTGCCTGGATCCTGGTGTGGGAAATGGGATGCCACAGCCCTCACCACGGCGACTGTCCCTTCCAAAGCCTGTGCATCCATAGCTCCAACTCGGCCGTGGACACCGACCCAACGCACTTCTGCACACTTCAGCCTCCTCTCCAGCCTCCTGTCAGCTCCATCAGCTCTGTCAGCAAGAGCCGCGTTCCCCGGGCAGGTTTCGGCCGGGTTGTTTACTTGCTTTTGTTCCTGTTCTGTGGTCCTTGGTTGTTTTTAAGAAGGAAGAAGCTTGAAGAGCTTTGGTACTTAATCTGTGGGTAGGAGAAACTTGAAAGGCTGGAATAGACCTCACCCCTTCTCCCTTCTGACAGGCGCTATCTGCCAGCAGCTCTAGCCACCCATGCATCACTGCCACCCAAAAGGAGCAGAAACTTGTTGGGGGAGGGGGGAGGACTGAGTGTCTCTGCTGACCAGGCAGGCAGGCAGACAGACAGGCAGACGGGTGGCCAACTGAAGGCCTGTGTGCCACCTGGGGATGTCCTGAGTCCTCCCCTTCAATGCATGGAAAGTCACCGTCCTTCGGAGAGGCTGCAAATGCCGACACTGGTAAGGGTTTTTTTTTTTTTTTCTTTTAAGGGAAAAAAAAAATACATGAGCCTTTCCTGTGACTAGCAGAGAAAAGGAAACAAAATACCTGGAAAAAATATATTTACCAAAAAATAAAAAATAAAAAGCTGATCCTGGTGATTCTTTTTAATTGGGTTGGAAGGGGTTACTTCATTATGCAGCAAATTAGAAAATTCATAATTTATCATTGCACCCAGTCGAAATGCCACCCATCTGAGTCGCACCCCTGTGAAAACCATCACATAACAGCAAACTGTCAAGCCTGCTGCAGCCGACGGGCAAAATTAATATGC